GGGGGGGGGGTGGTGTGAACCAGCAGGATCTGTCAGGCACCGGAGTTTGTGGAGACCAAGACAGGCATGATCCCTGCCTGATATACACTCGTGTGCCACACGTAATGACCAGTAAACGAAGGAATGCGTTTTGACAAGCACTGTGGAGGTGACAGTGACTGGAGAGGCCACATGTTAGATGTGGGGGCCGGGGAAGGCCTTTGACAACGAGATACTTAAGCCGAACCCTGGAGCGTGGAGAAGACGCTTTCTGCAGAGCGGAGAGTGCAGAGCAATCGCGTGGCCCGGACAGGAAAGAGCTCGGCGGGCTGGAAGAAGCGGTGTAAGCGGCCGTTGCTGGAAGTGCGCCAGGAGAGACGGAGGCCGGGAGTCTGGGGGTTATTCCTAGAGCGGTGGGGAGCCCTGTGGACTTAGACCAAAGAGTGGTACCTGGCAGCTGTGCGGGGCTCAGATCGGGGGGAACGAGGTGGGTCCAGGGGAGGAGAGTGAGGAAGGAGGTGGAGACGACTGCAGGGATTCGGGACTCGTTTAGGGATGGCTGGACTTGCTGGCGGAGAGTGAGCACCAGCATCAAAAGACCAACCGCTGAGGCGGAACCGCGGGAACGCCCGGCAGCGCCTCTCCCACAGTTCGGGACCATCCTTCCGGCTGCACCAACTCGGCTCCCTCATCCGGAACGCTTGCAGTGAGGTGCCCGGTTCCGCTGAGGGGCCGACAAGCACGGACCACTTCCGGCGAGCAGGTGGGCGGGAAAGAGAAGGGCTGCTTCCGGCCCGGCGGTTCCGGCCAGGCCCGCCCGGCAGTTTTAGGCGATGGCTCCGGTGCCGGCGGAGGGAGAGGCTTCTCCGATCCCTCCAGCCGTGTTCCCGAGGCCTCCCCGGCCCCGCGCGCGCCACTCTCAGTGCTCCGCGCTGCCGGGGTCTCCTGCCTTCCGTCCGGCCAGACCCCTCAGGCTCTTTACACGGCTTGGCTCTTGAAGTCCCGTCGTTGGCCGCGGCGCCCCTCTGGCCCTTCCGCCTCTTCCCTGGAGGCCCAGAGACGGACTGTGGGGACTACTTCGCATCCTTGCAGGGACTGACTGACCGAAGGTCCAGTAACCACCCGGGTCTGACTGTTGGGGGATGGAGCGGGGACCAGGGCTGGCACTGACCGGGTAGGGTCTCCCCACAAGTCAGACGTGTCTCCTGAGGGGCGGTGAACGGTCCTGGATTGGCTCCCCAAGACTGACCGGCCCAGGACTAAGCAGTTTGGGGGAACCCAACCAGGGTGGCGGATCTGGACTGACAGGCCCCTCCTGGCTGACCAGGCCAGCCCACTTGACGGGCCTCGTGTCCCCACCCCACCCCACCCCCACCCCCCGCCGGGCAGCCATGGAGAAGATGTCCCGAGTGACCACGGCCCTGGGTGGCAGCGCGCTGACGGGCCGCACCATGCACTGCCACCTGGACGCGCCGGCCAATGCCATCAGTGTGTGCCGTGACGCCGCCCAGGTGGTCGTGGCGGGCCGCAGCATCTTCAAGATCTACGCCATTGAGGACGAGCAGTTTGTGGAGAAGTTGAACCTGCGTGTGGGCCGCAAGCCCTCGCTCAACCTGAGCTGCGCTGACGTGGTCTGGCACCAGATGGATGAGAACCTGCTGGCCACGGCGGCCACCAACGGCGTGGTGGTCACGTGGAACCTGGGACGGCCGTCGCGCAACAAGCAGGACCAGCTGTTCACAGAGCACAAGCGCACGGTGAACAAAGTCTGCTTCCACCCCACCGAAGCCCACGTGCTGCTCAGCGGCTCCCAGGACGGCTTCATGAAGTGCTTCGACCTCCGCAGGAAGGACTCTGTCAGCACCTTCTCTGGTGAGGCCCTGGAGGTGGTCGGGCAGGTGGAGAAGGGCACCACGTGCATCCAGAGTCTTCAGGTGTGCTCCCCGAGAGCACTACCAGAGTGGCTGAGGGTCAGCATGGGAGCAGGGGGCGTGGGATGAGGGAGAGCCTGAGCAGACTGTGGCCAACCTGGGCCGCTGAGCGGACGCTTTGGTTTGCTGCCTCCTCTTTTCCTGCCTCAGAGCCCCGGGCCGCTTCACTGAAGGAAGCCACGGGGACCTCCAAGGTCCTCAGCTCAGGGATGAGAGGAGGCGGAGTATGCTGCCTGCCCCTGCCCCCCACGTTCTTTTCCCAGCAGGCCCAGCTCCTCTGCCACTAGCTCAAGGCCAGCTGGCCCGTTCACCCTGATGAGACCAAGTGCGGCACAGGGCGGAGCCCTCAGTCGCCTCAGAGAACTGGGGGGCCTCCTAAAACACCTGAACTAACTGCGCTGTGAAAAAGCTGGAGTCTTTGAAGGCTCTTGGTGTGCTGGTGCAGGGAGGTGGATGTGGACCGTTAAGGTCTCCGGTCCCCGGAGCTGACCCGGCACTCCACCTCAAGGCGAAGGGATGGGGCCGAAGCTGGGGCACCCTCGGGGGAGTGCAGACAGCCCAACAACGCTCAGTGCTCCGATGGCCGGTCCGGAAGGCAGGCCGCAGCTTTGTGCAAGGGCTCACGTCAGATGCAGGATCCAGGGAAAGTCGAGGTCGTGTTTCTGCTTCGGAAACCACGTGATGCCTGGCATCCTGCTCCCTGACCTGATCTACCCGAGCTCCTCTGTGAAGCCTCTGCCCACCACCGCCCACCCTAGGCAGGCTTAGGGGTGTTTACTCCGCCTCCTAGGCTTCCCGGCCTTGGTCATGGGCAGCCATGTGACTGCAGTCCAGTCACTCCAAGGCCGCCACACCTGGCTGCCTTCTCTCCTGGAGCCTCCTGTGGGCTGGCTCTCTCACCTTCTCCCTCCATGGATGTCCACAGGCCAGTCTGAGAGTGTGCGGGACGTCCAGTTCAGCATCCGAGACTATTTCACCTTCGCCTCCACCTTTGAGAACGGCAACGTGCAGCTCTGGGACATTCGGCGGCCTGACCGCTGTGAGAGGATGTTCACAGCCCACAATGGACCTGTCTTCTGCTGCGACTGGCACCCTGAGGACAGGTGTGGGGAGGGGTGTGGAGGGGAGGGCGGTGGCAGTAGGGTGGGATGGATGGGCTCACGGAAGGGCTGCCTCAGAACCTGTGAGGCAGAGAGCGGGGAGCTCTCCCACCCCAGGAGAGGATGCTAAGGGTTTCACGGACCTATTGCAGGGGCTGGCTGGCCACAGGTGGGCGTGACAAGATGGTGAAGGTCTGGGACATGACCACGCACCGCGCCAAAGAGGTGCACTGCGTGCAAACCATCGCCTCGGTGGCTCGAGTCAAGTGGCGACCCGAGTGCCGCCACCACCTGGCCACCTGCTCCATGATGGTGGACCATAACATCTACGTGTGGGACGTGCGCCGGCCTTTCGTCCCGGCTGCCATGTTTGAGGAGCACCGCGATGTCACAACGGGCATCGCCTGGCGCCACCCACACGACCCCTCTTTCCTGCTCTCCGGCTCTAAGGACAGCACGCTGTGCCAACACCTGTTCCGTGATGCCAGCCAGCCTGTTGAGCGCGCCAACCCCGAAGGCCTCTGCTATGGCCTCTTTGGGGACCTGGCCTTTGCTGCCAAGGAGAGCCTAGTGGCCGCTGAGTCTGGGCGCAAGCCCTACGCTGGTGATCGGCGCCACCCCATCTTCTTCAAGCGCAAGCTGGATCCTGCCGAGCCTTTTGTGGGCCTCGCCTCCAGTGCTCTGAGCGTCTTCGAGATAGAGCCTGGCAGTGGCAGCATGAGCTGGTTTGTGGACACGGCCGAGCGTTATGCCCTTGCTGGTCGGCCTCTGGCTGAACTCTGTGACCACAATGCCAAAGTGGCTCGGGAGCTTGGCCGCAACCAGGTGGGTGGGGTGGCCCCAGAGGCTCCCAGGGGCCATGACCTTGGGGGGTTCCTCCGACTGTTACATCCAAACCCTTTCAGGGATTTAGCACTCAGCTCTGGCTGCTCCCACCACCAGCCATCACCCTGGTAACAGGGTGCCCAGTGCCCTGCCGAGAGCCCGAGGCCAGTGCCGTCCTCTGGGTGCATGTCTCGGGTGTTATGGGGTTCAAGTGCCCTCTTGTGGCTCGTTTTTGCTTTTGGATTTCCCAAGCTGTCCCTGCGCTGCAGAGGTGCATGCAGCCACTCTCGTCTCCCTGGGTCAGCAGGCTCATTTCCGTGTTGGCTGCCTTCAATTTCTGCTTTTGTCTATTCCCCTGTAGGAAGGAGGCTAGAATTTTTGCGTTTGGCATAGGTGTCAGTCTCCCCCGTTTGGGGTGGGCCAGGATGCTAGGTCCCTGGGGCAGCTGAACACTGAGAGGTTGTGATTCCATCTGGGCATGGGGGGGTGGGTGCTGCATGGGGTACCAGGGACCCAGGCTCCTTGTAAGTGCCTGGTGGCTGCTCCTAGGTGGCACAGACCTGGACCATGCTACGGATCATCTACTGTAGCCCTGGCCTGGCACCTGCTACCAGCCTCAACCACAGCGTGGGCAAGGGTAGCTCTTGCGGCTTGCCACTTATGAACAGGTAGACGCCTGGGGGTGGCTCTCCACAGAGGGTGGGACCGTTGGAACCTATCTACCCATCAGCCCTCCCTGTCCCCAGTTTCAATCTGAAGGATATGGCCCCGGGGTTGGGCAGTGAGACCAGGCTGGACCGTAGCAAGGGTGACACACGGAGCGACACGGTGCTGCTTGACTCCTCAGCCACACTCATCACCAATGAGGGTAGGCTGAGGGGCGGGCAGGGGGTTGATGGGAGTGGGGCCAGGGCATCCCAGAACCAGCTGCCTCTGGAACGCCCACCCTCCCTTGTGGGCAGATAACGAAGAGACAGAGGGCAGCGATGTGCCTGCAGACTACCTGCTGGGCGACGTGGAGGGCGAGGAGGATGAGCTGTACCTGCTGGACCCGGAACACGCACACCGTGAGTGGGGGCCAGGAGAGTGGGGTTGGGAGGCAGGGCCGGAGGCTCAGACCCTGCCTTCCCTGCCCCTGCCTTGCAGCGGAGGAGCCCGAATATGTGCTGCCCCAGGAGGCCTTCCCGCTACGCCACGAGATCGTGGACACTCCACCTGGCCCCGAGCACCTGCAGGACAAGGCCGACTCGCCCCACGTGAGCGGCAGCGAGGCTGATGCGGCTTCCTCAGCTCCCATGGACTCCTCCTTCTCGCTCATCTCGGTATCACACGCCCTCTACGACAGCCGCCTGCCGCCTGACTTCTTCAGCGCCCTGGTGTGTGACATGCTGCGCTTCTACGCCGAGCAGGGCGATGTGCAGATGGCCGTGTCTGTGCTCATTGTGCTGGGTGAACGCGTGCGCAAGGACATCGACGAGCAGACCCAGGTGGGTGACCGGGTCTCCGGGAGGGCCTCCCTGCCACCCCCAGACCTGACCCCCCGCACGTCTGCCTTCACCTGCACCCGGCGCGCTCAGGGTGAAGCCCACAGCGCGCCCACCTCCCGGCCTCTTGCCTCCCTCCCCTCTCCGCACCGCCAGGAGCACTGGTACACGTCCTACATCGACCTGCTGCAGCGCTTCTGCCTCTGGAACGTGTCCAACCAGGTGGTCAAGCTCAGCACCAGCCGCGCCGTCAGCTGCCTCAACCAGGCCTCCACCACCCTGCACGTCAACTGCAGCCACTGCAAGCGGCCCATGAGCAGCCGTGGCTGGGTCTGTGACCGGTGCCACCGCTGCGCCAGCATGTGTGCTGTCTGCCACCACGTGGTCAAGGGTCTGTTCGTGTGGTGCCAGGGCTGCAGTCACGGCGGCCACCTGCAGCACATCATGAAGTGGCTGGAGGGCAGCTCCCACTGCCCTGCGGGCTGCGGCCACTTGTGCGAGTACTCGTGACCCATCTGCGCTGGGCCTGGGGTGGGTGGGGCTGGGCGTGCGAACCAAATAAAGGACGCGGGAGCCGCAGTCTAAGGCTGCCTGTCATCCCATCGTGCCGCCCGACGACGTCCCGGTTGGTTTTTCCAGCTTTTTCCGCGCTGGGCGACCGGGGTGGGTAGGTGGCCTCGTCGCCAGGGGAACTGGCGGGGCGGGGGGGGGCGTGGCCCTAGCCCGGGTCGGGTGGCCTTCGCTCCGCCTTCGAAAACACCCTTCCTTCCGGGGCGGGCTAAAGGAAGGTGCTTCCGGGCCGTTGCTGCGACGACGGAGTTCCCGCCATGCCTCGCGGCGGCGGGCTAATGGCGTCGGGGGCGCGGCTGCAGTTACTGCTCGCGCTCTGGACGCTGGCGGGCCCGGCCCGGCCGGTGGCCGCGGACGCGAGCGACGGAGGGTGGTGAGCGGCGGGGTCCGGGCGCGCGGTGGGGCCCGGGGCGCGCG